GGGGGGGACACCTTTTTTGGCAGTGACTTATCTGACAAGGAACTAATCTCGAAAACTTCCACACATCGTCGCCAAGAAGGCAATCCATGAACAGACACTTGACCAAAGAAAACAGTCAGGCAGCCAACAAATACAGGAGGAAATGGTCACCATCGTTAGCCACTGGAGAGCTGCACCTCAAGACGGCAGCCAGGGCCGTCTCACGCCACCATCGACGGCAACGTTAAAAAACCCAGAAGACAGCAAATGCTGCTGGCCAGGGCCGAGAGGCCTTTACGTGCTGGCAGGACTGCAACGTGGTGCAACCGCTGTGGAAAACGGAGCTAGAAATACCGAATGTGCAGTGATCCCAATGCTTGGTATGTACCCTGGAGAAATGAGTACTAACATGGAAACTTAAACCCGTGTTCACTGCAGCACCATTTATAACAGCAAAAAAAAAAAGTGGGGAACTGATGTCCCGCCAGTGAAAGGATGGACGAATGAACTTGGGTACATTACGCACAAGGGGAAACTGTAGGACACTGAGAAAAACAAGGAGTGCGAGACTCCTCGCAGCAAGTGTGAACCTGAAGAGTTAGATGCCGAGTGGAATACGCCCATCACAAAGGGACAGGAATTGTAAACAATATTTCTCATGAGACCATGATTGTACAAAGTCAAGAGAACGTTTTTTCACTGAAAAACAAAACAAAAAAATATTCTCCGATGGTGGCCAGAGCTGAGGAAGATAAACTACTACTTAGAAGATAGACACATATTAACCCGGGTGACTGGAAAGACAGGCAAAAATGTTGACGGGGTCATCCTCACTTTAAAGACGAGGAAAGTAAGGTCCACAGAGGTTTCTGGATGCCCAAGACCATGCAGCAGGAGCAGGAAAGAGCCAGACCCTGAACCCAGCTCTCAGACCCCAAGGTCATGACCCGTGCACTCAGCCATCAGCTTGCGACAATGCCACTCTTGGGGGTAGAGGCTCCATGGAGCTAAAAGTGGCCCCGAGATTGGGGACCCTCGGGAAAAAGGCCCCATCCCAGGCTGCAAGCTCGTTCCCAGGCGTGAGTGACGCACTTCAGTCTCCAGGATAACTCTGTCCCCTTCTGAGCCCAGGCAGGAGCCCTGGCTCTGGCACCACGCGAGCAGAAGCCCAGTGTGTAGCAGGTGCCCGTGACTACCATGTGATGCCGCCTCTCACCTGTGTGTTCCCTTCCAGTTCTTCAAGGCCTTCACCAAGAATGGATCGGGGACACACCTGCCAGGTGGGTTTGTGGCTGGTGGTCCTCTTGGCATGGCTCGTGTCTGGCTCCGGCCTCCCTCCTCCCCTGGGTTTCTGATGGGCTCGGGAGGCCTGACAATCAGCCTTCCCACGGGCAAACCTGTTTTGGGTTTCTTGGAAGGAAAGCCCCTTCCCCAGGCAGCCTAGAACAGGGGTCGGTCGGCAAACAGCAGCTCGCTGAGGCTCTTTGGGTAACAGCATGTGGCTCTGAAGTAAAAATGGAAAACAAAATGTTAAGGGATATTATTCAGCTAAAGGTGATTTCATTTGTTTGTAAACACATATTTATGTCTCTCAAATAGTCTCTACATTGTTGTGAAGGACAGGATTGGCTCTTGGGACTCAAAAGCTGACTGGCCCCTGCCCTTGAAGATGCCCTGGGGAAGGTTCAGCTGAGACCTTCAGCCTGGCCCGCTCAGGGCCCTGCTGGGATGAGGTGTAGGGCCCTGTCTCTAGAATAGCCTGTGGTATAAAAATGAGGCTCTCGCGCAGAACGGAGGCCCTGAGGCTCGTGGGGTCCCCCAGGGTCCTAGTCTCAAGTCTCTGCCTGCTGCTGGTGGGGCTCCGTGGGGTGCGTGGGACCCAAGGAGCAGCCCCTACCCTCACTCTGACGGTTCTGTGGGATAGCACGTGCCCTTGCCCTCATCCCTTCATTTCATGTCCTCAAGACTGGCACGGGCAGTGATGGATTGAACTTCTCTCTCCCTGCCCCACGCCCGGCCCATGGGCTTTCCCTCTGCAGTGGTTGGGGCAGATGTGCAGACACTGCGGGAGCGGCTCATCGATGCCCTGGAGACTCACCGTGACACGTGGCCCCCAGCCTGCCCCCCACTGGAGCCTGCCAGGTATGTGGGGCTGGGCCGACTTGATGCTGGGTGGGCCACGACCATAGGCCTAGGAGTGAGCAGGTGGGGCGGCTGGAGGGCTGCCTCTGCACTTGGGGCAGACCCCGCAGCCTGCAGCAGCTGGAAGAAGGCCTGATTGAGGGGCCTGGCCTTCCAGAGCTGGCTGACAGATTCAGAGCCCACCCACTGGGAGGGAGACCTGGTGGTGCCTGCTGCCCCTTCTCGTCAGAACTGCCCTCAGGCCTGTTTGGGGGATGCAGCAGGATTCCATACACCCAACCCACGAAGGGAGGGCCCTGAGAGTCAGGGTGGGCATAGGGAGGACAAGGGGTCATGAACTGCTTAGAGAAACAGTGTGTGGTGGAGGCCGACCAGAGCAAGCTCAGAAGGGGAAAGACCTTCTCTAAGGTGAAGGTGGCCATTTGTCTGGGCCAGCGCTGTGACGGGGAGGTAGGAGTGGCCTTCACTGCTTGTGCTGCGGGGTGTCCAGGACAAGGGCTGCTGCCCTCCGCCTGCCTGCAGTGAAGGCTTCCAGGCCAGCGAGGCCAGTGAGGGGGTCTGTGTGTTGTCCCCTGGCTCTCCTCAGGGGACTGAGACAGGTGGATGGAGAATACATCTTTCCCTTCTGGGTGAGAACTCAAGATAGGGTATTGCTCACCTTTGGGGACAATCACAAAGCAGGACTGAACTAAATACTAGCAGGGACTGTTAGATAGAGCCAGCCGAGAAGCCTGAGGCAGGCACTGGAAGGCCCGTGTCCGCACTGGTGACCCTCAAAGGCAGTCTTGCAGAGACTCTGTGCCAGCTGGCATTGAACCCAGCTGAGAAGACCCCATCATCTTGCCCACTTCTTCATCCTCACACAGGACTCGCCGAGACCCTAGGCCCAGGGCACAGTGGTCATGTGTCTGGGGTGCCAACTCTCCAGAACAACCCGCCACCCTGTAGTCTGCTCCCTCCTCCTTCTCTCTCTCTCTCACACACACACACACACACACACACACACACACACACACACACACACATCCTTATGGCACATTTTCAGCCCTGAAAGATCTCAAAAGCAATGAGCCAGGCAGACTTGCCAGCCTCGCTTAAGTGGCTCTTCCACAGAGATGTGTGGAGAAAGGTAGGTGAGAGCTGGCTCCCATTCGGGACTTGCCTCCCCTCCAGTCTAGGGAAAGCCTAATGAAGCTGCCTGAGAGCCTGTCTGGTGCCACCCTAGAGCCTGTTGGAGGCCATGACACCTCTTCCATTTACCCAAGGGGTAGAGTCTGGCCCCACCCCTGGAGCAGATCCCTTGGCCCCTGGCTGGGCGGGGCTCCAGCGTGGCCCCAGGTGGCACCTCTGTTTGCCGGTAGTCACTGCCTCTCAGTAAACCCAGTCGAGGAAAACAGGTCTCCAGATTGGATGGCCTGACCTGCAGCGATAAAAAGGTGGCATCCTTTGACTGTCTGACTTCTCACCTGCTGGCCTTTAAGCATGTGGAACAATGTTCCGTCTTTAATTGGAATAAGGGAACAAATAGTTTTGGGTTCATTCAAGTATCTTCTGTTGAAACTTTAATTTTTAAAAAGAACACCAATATCTCACTTGCTGGAAGAGGGATTGATCAAATTTGTTGTAGTTTTCTCCCCTCCACCTTTGTGCTGGGCCTCATATTCCTCATCTTAAATTGGGCTGGCTTAGCTAGTCTCTGCGTTCTTCTGTACCTGAGACTTCGGGTTCTGTGATTCGGTGTTCCTGTCTCCCACTCGGAAGCACAGCACTGTCTCCCGGCTGGTGTTTCCTTCCACAGACAGAACTTGTATCTGAGGAGTCTAGTCTCAGCCTCTCAGGGGCTCAGTTACAGCTCTGTGCAGGCAGCCAGAGCCTGCTCCAGACACCTGGTCTCCCAGTGCTCCTCCCTAGCACCCCTCCCCAGACCACCCAGGCCCACTCCTGACTTCGGGAAGACACAAGGGGAAAAAGTGGGAAACAGCAGGGGCCCAGAGGAAGGCCCTGGGGTTAGGTAGCAGCAACACCCTTTGAGACCGTGGGCTTGTTTAGCTCCCCTGGGGGGCTGGTAGTGGGAGACCCCCACCAAGCCTTGTGTGGAGACCGAGGACTTGTGATGGCTGCACTCGCAGTAGCATGACCACCTGCCCCCGACATGGTCAGCAGTTGAGCCTTAACCGCCTGCTGTGGAGGGTGATGAACATCATTGTCTCTTGCAGGCTGGAGGAGATTAATGGATTCTTTGCAAGAAACAATGAAGAGTACCTGGCCCTGATCTTTGAAAAGGAAGGCTCCTATCTGGGTAGAGAGGTGAGCTGCCCTCAGCTTCCCTGCTCATAGGGACTGCCCTTGGGGAGAGCCGGCTTTGCCTGCCAATCCCAGGGGCTCTGCTGAGCATTTCTGTCCTGACCCCTGCTGGGAGAATTGGGAAGTGCAGGTGCTGGACCATCCAAACCAACTATGCTCTCACTTGGTGCTTCCTGAGCATTGCATCAGATTGCTGACGTACCTACTTGTTAGTGATCACCATGATGGGGATGGTCAGGTCACATACCCGTGATCACACAGCTGGTCAACTGGCCGGGCAGAGCCTTGAACCTGGGCTGTCCGCCTCCGAAGCCAGTGTTATTTGCACACAGCTCCCCTGCCCCCATCGAACTGGAGTCCTCATGGAAGCAGACAGCCACATCTTTCTCCCACAGAGCAGCTGGCGCGTTCTAACTGTTCACTGTTTGGTTAGCATCCGAGCGTTCCAACCCCTGGGCCCAGGGTTCCTTAGCTGGCACATAGCAGGTGCTTTCTAGAGACCTACTCGGCTTGCCTGCTGCCCGTTGTGCTCCCAGCCGGCTCTGGACTTGTGCGCAAGCCACTTGGGGACTTTTCCGAGATGCAGAGCTAGCTGGGCCGGCGCCTGGGAGATGTTCCAGGACAGTACAGGGACAAAGAAGGAGCACAAGGCTGGGGACGAAATGAACCACCACTGTTGGCGCTGGAAGGTCCTCCTGCTGGAACTCATCAGGCACAGTGGGGAGCTCTGTGCTGAAGCAGCAGCTTGGCGCTGACTCCAGCTCCCTCATCCCACAAGGGGAAGCACGGGCAGGCAGGGAGGAGGCACTGAGCTTGGCCGAATCCTCCTGGGGCCCAATCCAGAGGTGATTGCTAGATGTTTGTGGGAATCAGCTCTTCTATCTCTTCGCCCACACTGTCCCCTAAGTGACCAGGGTCAGCCCTCGCTGTGTAAAGGGCCTTGTGCCTGCGATCGGGCCCGATTGAGGTGCTCTGGAGTGGTTAGTGTGACAGGTAGCAGAGTACAGAGGCTAAGAGTGCAGGCTTTGGAACCAGACTGAACTGGGATGTACAGTACAGTTGAGGCTCTAGCTAGCTCTGTGGCACAGATATATAATTTCTCACCTCAGTTTCTGCATCTATAAAATTGGAGTTTAAAACATACTCGTGTAGCTCTCACTCACTGGTATTGAGTCAATTCTGACTCATAGTGACAAGGTAGTTTTGCCCCTGTGAGTTTCTGACTGTACCTTTTTTGAGAATAGAAAGCCTCATCTTTCTCCCTCAAATCAGCTGGTAGTTTTGAACTTCTAACCTTGCAGTTAGCAACCCAATGTGTAACCCACTACGCCACCATGACTCCTCTTGAGTAGCTACTATGTGTTATTGTTACAAGGCTGTGTATAAAATTAAGCCATTTGGTCCTCATAACAGTCATGTGAGGTTGGTCTTATTAATATTAATATTTTGTAAGCAAGGAAATTGAGTCAGGGCGGGATCTAGTCCAGGTGGAGCCAGGATTCAAACCCAGGCAGCCTGGCCCCAGCATAACATACGGTGCCCTCTCCTGGGCTCCCAGCCATGGTTCCCTGCCCATAGTCTTATTTAGAAGATTACACGAGCTAAGCTATGAATAGTATACTGTGATAGTCTGGGTACATTAGAGAAACAAATATAGAGAAGCTCATATGTCTAAGAGAGAGTTTTGTATAAAGGGTAAGTGTACATTAAGAAAGCATCCCAACCCAGTGCTGCCCAAGCCCATAAATCTAACATTAACCCATATGTCCAACACCAATCTACAAAGTCCTCCGCAGTCTCACAAAACACACGCAATGATGCCGATTGCAGGAGGAAAGCCGAATCAGTGAATGTGCAAACATCTCAGCGCTGGCAGGGGGCTCCACGCGGCTGCTCCAGCACCCAGGGCTGCATCGGGGTAGGTCCATGTGGCTTCTCGCAGGAAGTGAGCCTTTCTAGCTGAAGCAGGGAACTGGCTAAGGTAGCTGCATCCTGGTCCTACCACCAGAAACCAAGAGATCCAAGAACTAGAAAGGCAAGGCTCACGGAGCCATTTATCTCTCCGCCTTTCAATTAACCCCACGTGTTTATCAGCCAGGTTGGCACAATAAGCCTTAACTATCTCATATATGATACCTACTCAGCAAGGGTTAGTCTTTCCTCTTTTTATTACTCTTAAAACATGATGATCATCATGTCTGGGTAAGGATATTTTCTTGATTGTGATTATAGAGAGAAGATCTTATGAATCAAGGCAAAGGAAGCCACATTTTATGACACCTTTTGCAAATGCAGATTGGAGATGGTGGGATTCTGCTTCATTGGGACTGTCTGGATCCCAGATAGGAGGTCTTCACAGTTCCAAGGGCCCTCCTTAGCTGGCAGTTGTTTCTGTGGCTAGCGGCAGCTGGTGGGAAGGGGGTCCCTCGCTCCTCACAAGGGTCCACCCTCAAAGGTATGGAGTGGAGATACAGGGTTCAGGTAAAGCCAGGCCCTGCCCAGCACACTGAGTCAGGACTCATAGTCCCGGACTCCCTCTGCCCAAAGCCTTGGGCCTTCGCCCCAGATGTCCTCCCTTCTTTGCAGGTGACGCTGGACCTGACCCAGTACCGGGGCGTGGCCGTGCGCAGGGTCCTGAGCACAGAGGAGGATGTGGTGAGCACCTTTGGCGTCACCGACTTCCCGTCGTGCTACCTGCTGTTTCGGAATGGCTCTGTCACCAGGGTCCCCGTGTGAGTGCAGTGTCCCCTGGCCTCACCCCTGCTCCCTTCCTGTCCTTGTTCCTGCCTCAAACCCAGCGGGGGGCGGCTATGTGCTTTCTCCTGCAGTGGTTCTTCTGAGGCACTAGTGGGCAGGGTGGGCATCCTGTCTGGGAGAAGCGCCTATCTGGCGGGGGCGGCGCCACTGTAGCCCAAGAATCCTGCCACAGCCCCCTGGCATGCCCAAGGTGTGTCCCATCCCCTTCCACTGTGCCTACACCACCACAGCCTCCCCTGTTCACAGACAGACACCGTGGCAGACTGCGGGCCTGGCACACGCTCAGAGTGGCATGACCCTCCCTCCCTTTGCTTTTCTAATTGCAGAAAAGTTCATTAGGAGCCAGACAATAGCCAGTTCCAAAATGCCAAGCGAAAACAATCAGGCCGGTCTCTGCCGCTGTCGGGCTCCCACTGCCGAATGGCCTGTGCAGTGGTGCCAGATGGCGGCTTGGTGCCCTCCCCAGGCAGACAAGTGATGTCCGCCTGGCCCCCAGGCAGAAGCTTGGGGGCCAAGGAGATAAAGGCTTATCAGAGGTGCCCAACAAGCTGCCCCTCAAGGCCACCAGTGCCATCCTGTGCTGCGGCTAGGCAGGGCGGCCACTTGCCCCCAACCCCTCCACCTGCCACACGGCCCCCCGATCAAGCAACTGTGGGGCTGACCCAGGTTCTGCTGGGGAGAGGAAGCGTGCCGCTGGCCGCAGGGGGACCGAGGGCCAACCCTGGCAAAGGGAGGTGGCATTGTTTGCTCGCTTGGAGCTGGTGGAGGGGAAAATTGTTTGTGACGATGCCCCTCCTGAGCCATCTGCTCATCTATAAACATCAGGCCAGGATGGCGGAGTGGAAAGTAATGCTTACCAATGCCAGCTCCCCTGGGCTGCCCCATCACTCCTCTGCTGGTGGCTGCATCTCTCCCGCCAGGTGGCCTGAATCTGGGCGTGTGAAACAAAAGCAAACAAACGCCTCTGAGTCGATGCCAACTCACAGCAGCCCTCTCGACGGGTAGAACTCACTGCCCTTGTGGGTTTCTGAGATGAACTCTTCACAGGAGCAGGAAGTCACATGGGACCCCAAGGAGCAGCTAGTGGTTTTGAACTGCTGACCTGGCAGCTAGCAGCTCCACCTGTAACCGCTTCACCACCTGGCAGGGCTCCTTTTAGTGGGTACAAGGGGGTGGTTATGTTCAGGTGAGTCCTGCCGCTTCCAGAAGTGAGAGCCATCAAAAGGAGAGGGAGAACGGGTGATTTTTTTTAAAAATTTTTTGCTGCGGTTGCTACGTTATATATGTTCAAGTCACATCTCAAACTCCCTGACTTCCTTGGGGTGCCCTGACACCCAGCAGGGCCTTGGAGCAAGCTTGGGAGGGGTCCGCCCCCGTTGGGAACATAAGGGCCATGGGAGGCCCAGGGCAGCGAAGGCAACACGGATTCATGAGACGGCTTCCCACATGTACCCAGTGTACGCCTCCATGCGTGGCAAGGCTGAAGTGAGCCACAGGCCCCCAGGTTTGGCCCCGTGAGGATGAGGCAGCCGGACCACACCTCTTCACAAGCATGCCCGTCTCGGGGGGCACTCTGGGACTTTGTACCCCTGCACTCACCACCTCTTCCCTTGGGTTCTGTCCCCTCCAGGCTTATGGAATCCCGGTCCTTCTACACTGCTTACCTGCAGAGGCTCTCTGGGGTCACTAGGGAGGCCACCCAAACCACAACAGCACCAACCACCGCTAACGAGATCGCTCCCACTGTCTGGAAGGTTGCGGATCAGTAAGGCCATAATGTTTTCTCCTCTCCAGCCCTCTCCCCCACCCCAGCCCTTCCCTGTTCCCGGACCACCCCTCCTCCCAGTCTCACTCAGTCCTGCTCTGTCAAGAGTGCAGCACATGCCATCCTGGGCCCAGGCCTCCTCCCCACCAGCACCGCGGGCTGGCCTTTGGGAGCCTCTGATGCTGCCATGCGTCAGGGAATCTTGGGCACGAGAGGAGAGCGGTGGGCATTGGCCTCTCCAGTGTCTGTCCCCGGGCTCGAGCACTGGCTGCAGGGGTGCCCAGGCACCTGATTTTTCCCTTAATGGTGCTCACGTTGCTTACCTTTAACTTTCTTCAAGAACAAGTAGAATCCGTTTGGAAGGAGATGCTGCGGCCTCCAAGCCATCTTCCCGCCCACACGTCTGCTTCCTCGTCAAATACTCCTGAACACACGCTGTGTGCGAGGCTCCCTGGGCGCGGGTGCTGCCCTTGTTGACACAGCCCTTTCCTGCAAGGTGTCCACCCGGACTTGAAGGGCTCTGGTAGCAGGGAGCTCAAAGCCTGTGTCTTGTGCACCGTTGTAAGCATAGAAGCTGTGCTTGTCTCGGAGGCCCCTTGTCCCTTGCTCCTGTGGTGGCCTCTCTCTCTCTCTCTGGTCTGTCTGGAGACCTCTTGTTCTAGCTCCAGGCTGCACACCGGGTAGAAACGACTGGCCACAGCGCTTCCGAGGGGATGCACAAGAGTACCGGGGGCAGTCATCTGATTCGAGAAGGATTTTGACCCATGCTTGGGCAACTGTAAGGGGTGGGAAGTGCTGATGGAGAGATTTGCAGTCAATCAGGGTAGGAGGAAAGAGTGAGGCGGGATGATCCCACAGACCTCTGCGCCAAGCTCTGTGCTGAGCGCCGTCCATGCAGTGCCTCCTTCAGTCATGGGGCCATAAGATTGTGAGGCAGATGGAAGCCCCAGGACAGCCAGGTGGGCACCGAGCGGGGACTTTGCCACAGGAGTGAAGCGAGTCACTGTGTCCACCCTGAGATTTGACTTTCTGCAACTCTAGGGGGCACGAGGGGCAGGGGTCGCTCGCTTACCCTACAGGTAAGGTAAGTGAGACCCAGAGAGATGACCCAAGCTCACAGCCAGCTCACTGTGGAATGGAGGCTGGGACCCTCCATGAATGAGGAAGAGAGAGAGCCTTCCAGGGACTCCCTGCATGAAGGGCGGGGGGAGGCAGCAAGCCTGAGGCTGAGCCCCCTGCCCTGGTGGGCAGCAAACCCCTGTGTGTGCGTGCCTGTTGTTACGTTTCTCCTCTCTGAACGTCTCGGCCTTCCCTCGGTGGCCTGCTTGCAGCACTTGAGTGCATCGTGGGAGGAGGGGTCAGCCCTGGGGCTGGCGAGGAGACTAGCGCTTTGCTTTCCGTTTAACCCACCTGGGAGGGATTTATTACTATCCCATCAGACCTGTCCTCCCAGAGACGGTAAGTAATTGACCCAAGGGCACACAGTTGGCCACCGCTGGCAGTGCCCCTCCGCCCCTTCCCTCCCTTGACCCCCTCAGGCGCTCCTCCCCCTGCTCTTGCCCCGTGGCTAATGCCCGTCTCTCTCTGCCCTCTGGGTCTTCAGCTCCAAGATTTACATGGCCGACCTGGAATCCGCGCTGCACTACATCCTGCGGGTGGAAGTGGGCAAGTTCTCGGTCTTGGAGGGGCAGCGCCTGGTGGCCCTGAAAAAGTTTGTGGCGGTCCTGGCCAAGGTGAGCGGGCTGTGGCCTCCCTGTGTGGTTGCTGTGTGTCCCTGCACACCAGGCACCCTCCCGCATGGCCTGGCCAGACAGACAGCAGGACCCACAGCCCTCCCAGTCCACCATGAGCTGCCACCTTCTAGTCTCGACCATGCCCACCAGGGCCTGCCACAAAGGGCCCCTGGCACCCTGACACCTGGGAGGAGTCCCAGCTGATGCCAGACCCCGTCCCTCCCCATCAGTGTGAGGCCCCAGAGCATGGCCTCCCACTCCCTGCCTGCTCCTAGGGAACGCACAGCCTGGGGATGCCTCCGAGCGAAGGGAGTCCCCTGTGGCTTCTGAGCCTCCGTCATTTCTGCTCAGGCCCTGGCCCTCTGTCTGACCAGGCCCGTGGTTCCTGGCCATGTTTCCTGGCGAGGGCCGCTGTGTGCTGTCTCCCATCCACTTACGAGCCTGTCATGTAACCCTCTAAACCTCTCTGGGGTGGCCCTTATGCTCCACCCCATTTTAAAGGCCCAGGGAGAGAGCGCGAGTGGCCGACCTTGGTCTCCCAGTTCTGAGGTATTATGGCCAGAAGTGGGGCTCGGGAGGGTGGGCTCCCTTCTCTGCCTGCTCCTCTGCAGGCCAGCCGAGGGCTGATGCCTCCTTCTGCAGCACCCCCCTCCCACTCCATGTCCCTCCTCACCGGTTCCAGACCACTGTACTGTCCTTCCACCCTGCTGAAGGCCAAGAGCTCCCTAGAGGCTGGCTGCTGGCCGGCTGCTCCCGGCCTGGGGCCCAGATCTCTTCGGGCAGCTGGGGCGGCTACCTCGGGGGTGATTTGTGCCTTTCCCTCCTGGGACTCTTGGCCCACCACAGCAATCCTGCCCTTTCTGGCATGTGAGCGTCTGATGGCCCGAGACCGCCCTGTGAGCAGTGCCGCAGCAGGGCCCCTCACCAGGGCCCCAGCCCGCCTTGGCACCAGAGACCATGCCTCCAAGGCCACTTGGGTCCCCAACTGCCCGCAGCCCCGAGGCTGGCTCCCAGCAGGCCACGAGGGGCTGCGTGTACTGAGGTAGAGGCCGGGTGCTTGCAGGTGCCCCTCACTGCTTCCCAGCACTCGGCTCTGGGCATCATCCCAGGCACCGCCTGCTTCCCTCAGCCCTGCTCAAAGCTGGCTTCTGTTTGGTTCTTGGGGGGACTCGACCTGCTTTGAGGGGTGTGCCTATGGGCTGAAGGCAGGTCCCCACAGTGACCAACAGAGGGGAGCCCGGTGGGGAGCCAGGGGACCTTGGGCCGGCTCTGAGATGCTCTGGCTGAGCTTGACCGTGTCCCTGCACTCAGGCCTGCCGGGGCCGTGCTGGGGGACTCTGACAGCGTGCAAGGGCTCTCTGTGCATCAGCTGGTTTTCACTCTGACAAACACCAGACACCCGTGGAGTACCTTGTCCAGGGCCCTCGGGCCAGTGAATAGCCCACTCACTTCCAAGTTAACCCATGCCCTTCCCCTGAGAGACACTGTGTGGAGGGGGGGTGGGCCACATGACCGCAGGAGGCACTCCTCGGTCTGTGGGTCCCTGCTTGCCATCAGTATGTGTGCTGGGCAGGGACTGACCACTGGGTGGCGTGCACTCACCACGGCTTCTCAGTTCTGGCCTCAGAGGCCCACTGCCATCAGCCTGAACCCCTTAATTCATCCGTCCCCTGACACCCTGGCCCTAGAGAGCAGAAGGTTCCAAGTCAGGATTGGGGGGAGACGGGTGTGTGTGTGTGTGTGTGTGTGAAGGTCAATGAGAAACGCTGACTTCAAGCTGTAAACTTAGCCAGGATGTGCCAGCTAACCAGGACGGAGCCCAGTCCTGTGTCCAAGCCTAGGACTCTTCCCAGTCACCTGGACCGGTGTCCAGCCCCAGGGCTTTGATAAGGTTATTGCACGACTTCCTGTGGGCGTTTCTTTCTCTGGGTAGTTGTGCCTTTCTCCCGAGCCACCTCCTCACAGCCTTTCCCATTGTTCCTGCTCCTCTGCCAGTTTCCCCTCGGCCCCTCCGCTTGGTTTGTCTGAGCTGCTTTCTGCTGCATCGTCTCCTCAGTTCGTGCGCACACATGCGCCTTGGACAGAGCCTCCTCCCTGGAGTCCTTGTGGTTTTAAAGGGCTGATACTAATCAGATTGGAGTTGACTTTTTGTCAGAGGAGCCTTCCATGCTCCTCGGAGACTACTAGGAGTTCCCATCAAGATTTAGATCTTGGCTACAAGCCCTTGGTCTGCCTTGTCCCCGCCAGCCGCCCATGGAATACAAATGGAAGCCCAGCCCAGCCCAGCCCATCAGTCAGTCACCAAATCAATGTCCAAAGGCCACCTGGAGGAGCCCAGCATTCACAGCAGCCCTTGGAGAGCGGCACCAGTGCTCAGCCCTTCTTCCATGGCTGGCACAGGCCAGGGGTCACCACTGGAACACAGGGTTTTGAGATGGGGCAATCTAGCCTTACTCAGAGCCTCTCTCCCCACTGTGTCCCCAGCCTTCCCCGATACCCCAATGAAAAGCAGTGTGGGATCCACATGGTGTCTCACATAGAAGGTTGTCTGGGTGCTCTAGAAACATGCTGAAGGGTGACCTTGGCCCAGTTCTCCAGGGCTGCGGGAGGGACCTGCGCGAGTTCTCACTCTCCAACTTCTGCTTCTTCCCTGTAGTACTTCCCTGGCCAGCCCTTGGCCCGGAACTTCCTGCGCTCCACCAGCGAGTGGCTCTGGAGACAGCAGAGAAATGAAATCCCCTACAGCTCTTTCAAAACCGCCCTGGACAACAGAAAAGAGGTGAGACCGGACTGTCTTGCCCTCCTGGACATTTATGGAAGGGGAGGACTTAGCACGGTGCCCTCTGGCCTCACTTTGCCAGTTCCCGTTCTGGAGGAGGCAGCCATCATGGTCGGGGTCTGCCGTTAAAAATTCCTAGCCTGGTGGGCTCTCAATTTAGAAGCAAGGAACCACCCACCTTCTGTTTTGGTCAGGTGTGTGGTGCTTTTGTGTGACCACTTAGCAGAGCAGAGAGCCCCAGTACTCCCCATGCTTACTCAGACACCTTGGCCAGAGCAGCAGGCTCCAGGGAGCACGCACGGCCTCCTCCCTCCCACAGGAGTGTGTGCAAGCTGGGAGCAGTCCACCTAGAGCGCACAGCCTGTGGGAGCACCCCTGTCTGTACATGTGTGAAGTAGCTTCCACTCCCTCATCTTGCAAAGGTCAGATTTGCCAGCGAGAAAAGACAACCTCTACACTTTTTTCTTTTGTATTTTGATAAACACTGAAGAAGCTGGAGCTGTTAAATTTTTATCTCCAGGGGGGAAAATCCCTCAGAACTGGTTTATTTGGTGTCGTGGAACCTCCTACTGCTTTCAATACACAATTAGTAATCAATAAAAAAAAAATGTCCTAGCCTGGGCTCTTACTGTGTACCAGGCAGTGTACCTAGCCATGTGCTCACTATGTGCTCGGCTCCCTACATGCCAATCTCATGGAGTTCTCATTACATTCATGGTAGGCAGATACTGCTGCCCCCATCCGACAGATGGAGAAACTGAGCTTACGAGGTTAAGGTCAGCAACGTACCTGAGATCATAGCAGCCGCTAAGTGGGTGAGCTGGGTTTTGAAACGCAGCTTGTGGGACCTCAGAGGGGTCTGTCCTGGTCAGGAGGCTTTGTTTTGCATGTGTGTAAATATACATGCTCAGGTTGTGTGCTGTCCCGTCAGTTCTGACGCGCAGTTACCCTACAGACAGAGCAGAACTGCCCCATCGGGCTCCTCAGGCCGTAGTCGATGCGGGAACAGATTGCCAGCCAAGTGGTCACTGCTGTGCCACCGAGGAGCTCTGTGTGAATGCACGTCTCTCTGTGGGCAGGTCCCAGATGTTGTCTCACATCCATAAGTGGTCTCTATACTCTATTGAAACGTGTTTTGAAAAAGTCTACTTTATCTATTTTGTCTCTATTTCTTCATATTTTGGTGTCACATATATAAGAATTCACTGTCAAAACATGTTTTAAAGTTTTACATCCGTGTTTCCTTCTAAGGGTTTTCTTATAATGTTGGCTCTTAGATTTGGGGCAAGGAGCTTGGGTGGTCAGCAGTTCGAAACCACCAGCTACTCCTCAGGAGAAAGATGAAGCTCTCTACTGCTGTAAAGATGTGCAGTCCTCAGACTCCCACGGGGCAGTTCTTTGCCCTCCAGGGCCACTCTGGGTTGGAACTGACTCAGTGGTAGTGGGCTTTATTGGGGATGTTGATGCATTTTGAGTTTACGTTTATATCTGGCTGGGAGTGTAGGTCCAGCTTCCTTGTTGTGCACGCTGAGACCCCAGATCGTTACCCCCCCACTCCCTGCCTCCTCCGAGGACCCCCAGTTGCTCTGCATGTCTTCCCTGGCCCGTCCACTGTGCCTCATAGCACCCCTATGAGACAGGGTAGAACCGCCTCTGTGGGTCTCCAAGACGGTAATTCTTGATGGGGGTAGGAAGCTTGTCTTTCCTCCTAACTGCAAGGAGCCCACGGTGCAGCCCACTGTGACACCAAGGCTGCCCAGAGCCACCCTCCGATCTGCTGCCTGTGTGTTCCCGCAGAACGCTGTTCTCATCAAGAAGGTGAACTGGGTTGGCTGCCAGGGCAGTGAGCCCCATTTCCGGGGCTTTCCCTGCTCTCTGTGGGTCCTCTTCCATTTCCTGACCGTGCAGGCAACTCGTCATCATTTATACCATCCGCAAGAGACAGGTAAGTCAGGGCCTGTCCAGCCCTGTGCCTCAGCCCCGTCCTGCTTCTCAGGGAGGACGAGGAGCGGGCAGCGCCCTGCAGCAGCTGGGCGTTCAGTGGCTGGGCAGACCGTCGTGCTTCTCCAGCGGGCGTTGTCCACGTGCAGCTGGTCACACCCAGTCAGTGCACACTGCCCTCCAGGACAGGGAGATCCAGAGCACTCAGCCAGGCCTGCCCCTGCCCCGACTCCTGCCTCAGCGGCAGCGGTCAAAAAGACACCCCCTCCCCAGACTCCAGGCACCTTTCCCAGGACTTGCTCTGGTTTCAGGCTAACCCTAACCCACTACCACCTAACCCTAACCCACCACCACCTAACCCTAACACACCACCTAACCCTAACCCGCCCACCACCTAACCCTAACCCACCCACCTAACCCTAAC